TTAATTGGTGTTTTCCTAATCATAACTATATTAAGTGAAACACATATGGAACTTCAAGAGAAAATCTTGAAATATTAACTTTTGGTGACATATTTAAGAATGATTTAGAAAGATTCTTGAAAGTTTTAATAGTTAAGATTGGAGTTTGCCATCAAATATGTTAACAAGAAGAATTGAAAAAAAAATATTTGATTTGAAACTAAATCAATATTGATCATTCAATCATTTTTAAATTTGAATATTATCAAGATATCTCATATTTTAAAAAGAAAAATACATGTGCAGACATAATAAATAATATAGGGTTTTTTTCATTGATTATGATATTTGGTGGGATTCACTTCTTATTTGTGCTTTTGAATGTTTTTTGAGAAATAAGTTGAACATGTCGAACTATTATTTTTGTTAAATTTTTTATTGATTAGATTTTACGTCTTCTTATCCTTTTTGTTTTTCTTTTTTTTTTAATTTGATAAATTATATTTATTAAATTAATTTTTTTAAATATAATATTTTTAAAAAGATTACAAATTTTTTTTATAGTGCTTCTCTTACAAAAGAGATAAAAATTTTACAAAATATATTTTTCTGTTTGTTTATAAAATAGTTTTGAAAAAGAGTTCTATGAACCTAATAAAAATATTACAAAAATATAACCTCTATTTATAAAATATTTAATTTTAATTTTAAAAATCCAATCTTATTATGTTTCTTTTAAAATTTAAAGTGTTGAGCAAATGTTTTTAATATAAAAATAAAAATGTCATAAACTTTATTTCTTAAAACCAAACTACAAAGATTTCGTCATTATACGAACATAAGTATAGCTAAAAACTAAAAAACACATAAATCACACATGTGAATATATATAGAATTTCGTAATTTTTTTTATCTTACTCATTTTAAGCTCTTGAGTTTCTTACTCCTCTTCACATATTTTTAATCATTCTCCTTCTTTATTTCTCACCATATAGTTTTATTTAGAAAGTTTACCAATCGTCCTCATTATGGCTATATCTATCCTCAATTTCAAATAGAATTGAGATATCAATCTTACTTTAAAAGAAATATTTATAAGAGAAAAGTAGAAATATAACCTTACAAACCCAAGGTTTAATGTTGATCCAAACTCTTTCTCTTTCCTGGATTTTGAGCTCGATCAATTCACCCAACCATACCAATTTGATCATCCGGTTACCATTACGCTTTTGACCAAACCATCGCTCATTAAAGCTTTCACACGGTTGAATCTAAAATTTGAATTGTTGTCACCTAAGATTTTTAATCGATCCTCCGGTAAGCGTTACTGCTTTGACCGAACCCACCGTTTTTTAAAACTTTCACTCAGATGAGTCCGAATTGTAAAATCTTGTGTAACCCCCCCCCCCCCCCCCCCCCCCCTAAATAAACACCTGAAACCCCCAAAGAATCTCAACCTAATTTACAACTCAACAACCTAAATTTGACGTTATCAATTTTGAATCTAGATGACACCCAACAAGAATGATTATGTGTAATTGTTGTGTGTATGCATAGATGAGAGGTTGAATATGAAGAGAACTTTCTTTGTATGTTTATCGCTTCATCGAATTCGAAATGATGCATGCATGAGGTATATGTGTGCAAGTAGGAGGCAAAATATAGTGCATTAAGTTTAAAAAATCACAAAATTTGGAAATTTTGATTGTATGTGTCGACCTATATAATTCATGTGTCGACACGTATGATGCATGTGTTGACCTATATATGTCATGTGTCGACTCATCAAAATATACGTTACAGGCTTTAAAACTCATTAGCATGTGTCGACTCATAAGTTGCATGTTGAAACAATCGGCTGAACAATCAATTGATAATGAAATCAATGAAGTCGCCATCAAATGTTTTTTATCCCACAGGAAAGATAAACATCGAGTAAACCTGAGAAAGATGAAATCACGATCAAACAACCGTGAGATACGAGTAAGGGAATTTGTTACGCGAGGGGAAGGTATTAGCACCCCACACGCCCGTAGTACTCTATGATATCCACTTTTATTGTTCTAATCTAATGGGTGTGTTTCAAATCTATATCTAAGCTGTACAGGAAATACATGCAAAAGAAAGGAGAAAAGAATGTAGGGAAAATAAAAGTTGTGCTCGCACGGGCCCTACCCCAATGCCTACGTATCCTTTTTAAGGAATCAGAGCAGCCGTAGTTCGGCTTCAAAAGTTTTTGTTGGTTTGTATTTTTTAATGAACAATATTAATTTCGCCTTCTGCCGCAGCTCAACCTTTAGAGACTCACACGTCAGCACAGAAGTGAATTGACATGTTCTTTCTGAAAAAAGTTTGAAAGAAAAGCCCGAAGGCGCAAAAGAGTTTGCATTGGTTGATATTTTTTTACCTTAAAAAAAGGATTTAGAAGTTGTTAGATGTTTTATGCTTTTTCAAAGAAAAATGAAGTTTTTGTTTTAATGCATGGATGCAAAAGAAAGAAAAATCATCTAAGGGAGACTAACTTAGATGTATCCCTAATGTTATCATACAATGATTAACCCTAAGGTTGAGCTTTGAAGGGAAATCTGTACTCCATGTTGACGTTCTTGGATAACAATCCTAATGTCTATCTTAAATCATCATCTATAGATGAATCAAGAAGTCCTAAAGGAGCATAGCAAGGGTCTATCACCTAAAATTATGTTTATCTCGAATCATTATCTATAGTTGAATCGAAAGCTCCTAAGGGAATATGCCGAGGGTATGTCATCTCATAACATGCACACAAAGATGAAATCAAACAAACAAGTCAATAAGCTTAAGAGAGCACAACTAGAGAGTTCCTATCTAGGCTAGCATACCAAAGAAAGTCTAAAAAAACTATCCTATAGGGAACATGCAATGAGAGTGAAGTCGTGATCTCAATCTCTAAATTTAGTGACTAATCGATCAACAAGAAATAAAGAAAAGCGATGAAATCCTATAGGGAGCATGCACTGAGAGCAAAGTCGTGATCTCAATTCCTAAATTGAGTGACTCATCGATCAACAACCAAGGAAACAAACACAAGCACAACACATATAGAAAATGAAGTGCAGAATGCCTGCTATAGGTCTTTAAACAGCGACTTCGAGCGCACGCTCTTTATTTCCTACTTCTCATGATATCTAACAAATAGTGAAGTACTGAAATAAGATAAACAAGGGAAAATACCAAACGGATATCAATATATGGCAAGGCGTATCAAAACAAAGAAACCCGACGATCTTCGCGAAAGCTTCACCAATCCAAGAAAAGAGTTAGAAATCAAATGCTTAGAATAAGCGTCGAAGCATCCTCAATGTGAAAATAAATCACAATCGAAAAACTCAAGCGCATCCGTATATCGTATAACAAACCTGCATAAGATTCACATCTTAATAAGCAAAGGTGAATTACCAATCTCAAATATAATCTGCTTAATCAGAATTTTATTTTACAAAACTAAAATAAATAAATAAAAACTACAAGTTTTTTATTGATTTTATTATTTCTCTTTGTCATGAAAAAATAGGATAAATCCAAACAATGAACAATTTTATTCACCAACATTTGCAAACTAAAAAAAACAGGGGTGAAAATTAGACACCATGCTACTGCATAGCAATCCCGATTCTGGTTCTAGCCCAGCCCGTGAGATATTTTTATCATAGTTCTTCCAAGATGCAAACAACAACAAAAAATCCAATAGGCCTAAGTGGGTATGGTTCATAATCTGGCTGGGATATATGATGAGGTATTCGTTGGGTTAAGGGAACCTAGGGTTCAAAATGAGATGAAACAACTTCATTTTGAACCCTAGGTTCCCTCTTTCATTCTCACATCTCTCGCAGAAACCTGTTACCGCGGAGGCACCATGGATCATCGTTGAATTCTCAGCCAACCCTTTATCCTTTCGACCGTTACTTCATCATCATCTCCCATGCAGAATTCACGACCACGGCTTAAACAAAGAGAAACCTAAGTCTAAAATAAACTCGCGAATTCGAACTCCAATGGAAGGAGCGTAGATCAGAGAAGACGGAGCATGTGCAATCGAGCAAGATCAAATGCATGGAGAACCTGATTGAAGACCTGAGGGTTGCGCCGCGGCAGGGAAAGTGATTTTTCCGACGAGCTTAGGATTGACAGGTGTTTCACCCTTCGCTTTGCTTCTTCTATTCTTTGATTTCACCGATACGATTGCTTCTTACGTGTTTTATGATGCGTATCGCTGCTTCTGATTTGTGGTATCACCGTTGAATTGATGTGAAGGATTGCGGAAGATTAAAGTGAGATTGATGAGGATGTTACTGATGCAGCCACGTTTGTTGATTGAAGTTGTGCAGAAAGAAGCAACAAGAGGCGATGAAGGTTCTACATGGTTGTCGAGAAGGTGAAGGTTGGTCGATGAAGATAAAGATGGAGAAGAAAAAGTGGTTATGATGCTGATGATGTAGGAATGATGAAGATGTGTGAAGGTTGGTGGATGAAGATGCAGAATCGTTATGGAGAGAAAGAAGAGAGAGGAAGTAGAGACGGTTTTCTGGTGAGTTTTCTGTATTTTTCCTGTATGAATTAATGATCGTGAATCTCTCTCCCCTTTTCTTCCAACTTGTTATCCTCTTTCCTTTTTCTGTTGAGAAGTAGTTAAAAGTTAGTTGCGAGTTAGTTTGACAGTTAGGAGTTATCTCGTAGCTGGAATTCTATTTCTGCTATTTTTGTTGAGAGGTTGTTAGAGAAAACAGGTTAGGGGGTTGTGAATCGGTTCTGCAGGGTTGGGAAGTGTTTAGAATTTATTTAGAATTCTGTTAGAAAAAAAATGGAAAGTTAGGAATGAGCTGAGTTGATGCTATTAGTTTTTCTGTTTGTGGTTTTTTTGGTTTGTTAAAAAACTATTTGTTAGAAAGTTTGTTAGAAACTGTTAGGAAATTTGTTAGAAGTTTTTATTGAAATGAATTAGAAACAGTTAGGGAATTAGTGAAAATTCTATTATGTTTTTTTTAAAGTTTATTATATTGGTTTCTGTTTCCTTGTTTAAGAGGATTGCTAATAATTAGTTCTCCGTTTTCACCAATAAACTCAACTGTTGTATGTTTCTGGCTTTGCCCAGAAAGAAATGGTCTAATTCGACAATATACCCTGATATTTCCTTTCAAATCTTGAACTTCAATATATAATTTCCTATTTTCTATTAGAAGAACATGATAATCATCAGCAGCCTCAGCTAGACCTTTGAGCTTGATTCCAAAGTACTTGTATTCCTCCGAGTAGCTTCTTTTTGCTTTTATCACTTCATCTTTGACAGATTTCATGACAACTTTAGACTCAGAAGCTTGCAATTCTAACTGCAAAACATGTTCTTCATGTGATCTTTTTGCCATATCCAAATCTTGTTTCAATGCAGCAATTTCAATATCACTGTGAACTTTGTCTTTCTTTAATTGGGAAAAATCCTGCTCTTCGAGTTTCTTCTTTTCTGAACTGGTTTCTTTTGCAAGCTGCTAAATTATTTTTCTGATTAAACTTATGAACTGTTTATGTTTTGTAAAGTGCAGGGTTGGAAAAGTTGGAGATGGGACATGAAACCTATCGCAGAAGCAATTTTGTACATGGTTGAATCAAAGTTTGACAAAGAGTTTGGAGGTTGCAAAAATGGCATCATGAAGTCATAACATGGAAAATAATGGAGCTAATGTTTAGGCAGGATAGATTTAGTGTAGCTTTGTGTAACTTACAATTTTTTGTAGTTCCTTTGGAATGTAATATAGATTTGTAAATTCAAAATTAATTGCTTGGAAACATTTGCATGATGCCTAGAAACAATGGTTGCACGAGCATGAATTTTCGAGTGGACACTGAACGATGAATATTGAGATGTTGAATTTGAATGACGTAAATGAAGGTTTGGAATGTATTTGGATTGATTTTGAACGGTATTTGAATGATAGTGAAAGTGACAACTTGAACCAAAATAATCACTTGAATGGAGTTATAATGAATGACTATGCCTTGCCATTTGTATCTTATCTTATGCATTCCAAGAAACCCTTATGACTAAGGTCTCCAAACTCGCCTGAATCAAATTCTTGAAAACAAACCAACGATTAGATTTATTGAATACCATTTGATTATCCTCTAAACACTTCACTTCATGACTCTAAACGAATTTCAACCAACTTGCATATTCAATGAACCAGTCTTGGACTCAAGATATGACACAACATTCAATCGAATCAATAATATTCCTACATGAACTCAGTCAAGAAAATAACCTCTCCATATTGACTTTGCCCAAAATCAAAGCCTTTATTAATATTCGTCTGACTCAATTAATGCTCTCTAGCATCATATTTTGTATTATGCTTCAACTTTTGGAATTCAAGTCAACAAACATGTCCACTTGAAAACGTAAGGCTAAAATCCTTAAGAAATTCCCTTGAAGATGATAATTCCTGACGCACAATATAAGGCTTTCTGAGAAAGTCCCTTGATAAAACAAACCCTAATCTCATGATCTTTGACAAAAAAACCCGATTGGAACACAATTGTCGAAAACTGGGCTTTGATCACATATAAGGAAATAAACCCTGATAGCCTCGTGGCTTGATGAAGAAAGAAATTCTCAATGACCCACGTCACAACCCTAATTCCACTGCTCGCTGCCTGAATAAGAAATCAGCCTTTATTGGACACGAACACCTTAACCACTGTGAAACCCTAATATCGCACAACCACTAAACTTTGAACCTCAAGCGCTTTATTGAATGCAATACATGCTATGTTAGTGACCTAATGGAATATATGCGAATGAATGAGAAGGTCTAAGCCAAATAAAAGAAATTAGGAGGGAAAATTTTGGGGTGCAACAACTGCCCCTATTTAATCGTCTTAGACCTAAAGGTGAGATTGGCGCTAGCCTTTCGAACCTTCAAGGTGGAATAAGATTAAATACTTAAAAGAACCCGGAAATTTGCGCTCCGAAGCCAGTCAGGTATTATTATATTTTTGGTTTTCTTTTTTCTATTTTTTTTTCTTTTTTGGATTACAGTAGTTAGCTGGGAAAACCTCTTGGATGTCAGGTCAAGGTTAGACATACACAAGAAAGAGACTGACCGAAGAAGGCTCTAACAAAGGAACCCCAATCGAAGGCGAACATACTGAGGATGCAAATATACATTGACTCTGAACAGAACACCGATCGAAGGCGAACTTACAAAGAAAAGAGACCAAATGAATGGGACTCCTGACAAATGATACCAGCCGAAGGTGGATTTAAGGGTAAAGAAACCAGCCGAAGAGGAATCTTTAACAATGAAAAGAACGCCGGTCAAAGGCGAACTTTCAACCGAAAAGAGACCAGCCAAAGGGGACTCTTAACATAAAAGGGTAGCTAAGTTGACGAAAGAAGGACCCGACTAACGCGGATAAACCAAAATAAGGAATCGACTAAGCAGGACCTTCAAAGAGAATCGATCAAAGGTGAACTCTACAAGATAAAGAGACTGGTCAAAGCGGACTCTAACAAGGATTTCCAAAACACATTGGGCTTTTGATAGGTTGCAAATACGCAAGAACTATAAAATCCCTCAGGCCAAAGGCAGGGTGTAATTCTTCAAGAGTGGTAATTATCTGAATTACCACACACCAATTATGGATACTCAAATGCTTGAGAAGCGAGAAAGGCTATACACTGACACTCACTCGCACTCTAATGGCAAAGCAAACATGGGTAAAATAACCAAAGGCTTGTAAGGGAAAGTGTAAACCATAAACATACTGGGGATTCCCATATGTATTGAACTTAAACAGAACAACGGTAGAAGGCGGACTTGTGATAAGAAAAAGAGACCAATTGTAGGGACTCTAAACAAGGATTGCCAACACGCGTTGGGCTTTAAAAATTTGTAAATACGCAAGAACTACCAAATCCCTCAGGCCAAAGGCGGGGTGTAATTCTTTAAGAGTGGTAATTATCTAAATTACCACACACCAAGTATGGATACTCAAATGCTTGAGAAGCAAGAAAGGCTATACACCGACTCTTACTCGCACTCTAATGGCAAAGCAAACATGGGTAAAATAACCAAAGGCTTGCAAGGGCAAGAGAAAACCACGACTTATTGGGGAAATAGAGAAATACCAAAGACCCGACTGGTGGTGAATTAAAACAAACTCTGCTGGGGAAACATAATAGAATCACCCTAGGCTTATTGTGGAGATAAATCAAATCTGAGTGCGTAACAAACTGGTTACGACAGGTGAACATAATTGGCTTATACTCATGCATGTTTGAAATTTTTTAGCATAATGCTCCATACAATGGAAATGCTATGCGTTTTAGTAGATGCAATGTAATGATACATGTTTAGCAATGCACTGGGGAAATCACATCAACATTCAGATGTTGGGAAGATAATGAACCTCCGAACGTTTATTCTTGCACATCTGATCTTCTGTAGAGAACATGCAATATAAACTTCAATGGGGAACCGAGATTCGAAACCATCAACCTCGAACGATTGATAACATTAAAGAAATAACTTCGTGGGGAGTAATACTACAAAAATAAATTGCAGTTCAGGGAAAATCTTGAATTCTGATCAAACTTCCAACTTCCTGGGGGATAAATTCTTTATCTTCTGTTAGAAAGAGGAGAGCTTCGTTGAGGATGAAAGCTTCTGTCATAAGATTTCTTGACGAAGATAACTTCTATTGGGGGTATAGAAATTCTTAAATAAAGAGAATTCTACTCATACCACACTGGGGATAACATCGCCGTGGGTACAAAATCTTCACTTGGGGAAGAAACCAGCATCTTGGGATAAAAAATCCAATGGTGATATCTCAATAAATTTTTGTCACTGGGGATGAAAGAGTTATGACTGGCACTCCTATGCACATCACACTGGGGACATAAGACACTTGATCCACTAGGGAAATAATAGCTTGCTCCACTGGGGAATAATAGGTACACCTTGCTTTGACAGGTTCTCAAAATTCGGCTTTGACTGGGGACAAAGACTACCTCATACACTGGGGGGACGAGGCCTTTAGATGATAGCATCAATAATATCTAGTTGCACTAAGTGTAACTATCTTTGCGAGATTCAAGCTGGTAAGAAGTTCTATACTGGGGAGCAGAAATCATTTCATTGCGGATGATGGTCGTCCTCATGAGGATAACAGACTAGAATCTCCCATAGGCAAACATAAGTCTCTTCAAGAACTCTGATATAGCAGGCCGCATTGGAGAGAGAGGGAGTGCATCCCTCATTTAGTAGGAGAATACATACTTCATGGGGAGAACAAATGCAAACCGCACTAGGGAAGCCGTAGAATATTGACTTCAAGGGGAGTATATCAAGAATCTCCAGTTAGTTAGTAAAATGATTCTTCCTAGAAACCTGGAAAGAAATAGACTGTATTGAGAAAGAGGAATACTCGGGCAAAAGTACGGATTTTTTTGGGAGAACACTGCAAAAATAAATTGCAGTTCAAAGGAAATCTTGAACTCGATCCAACTCTCAACTTCCTGGGAAAAAATACAACATTTCTTTCCAATGATAAAGAGAATCTTACTGGGAATTGGGATATTCTGATGTAAATTCTCAATAAAAGTGACTTTGACTTGGGGATCACAGAAATTCTTGAATAAAAAGAATTTTACCCAGGCCACACGGGGATATTACCGCTAGAGGTAAAAATCTTGAGAAGAGGAAAGCATTTGTGAATCGTAAGCTTGAGGTTAAGAACTCCATCGAGGAAATATTTCAGCAATACTCTATCACTAGGGATAAAAGAATTCTAAATAGAATTCGTCCATGCACACCGCCCCAAAAAGAACAGGAGATTTGCTCTATCGGGGCGTAATAAGCATGCTGATCAAAACATCTCTTCAAGAAAATCTGACTTGGGCAAATTTCCCAAGGAGAAAAGATACGAAATTCATAGAGACGATGAACGAAAACCTCACGAGGGGGATAAATACCCACACTTCAAGGGGATATAACAAAGATATACAATACAATGAAATTATCTTCCTAGATTTGTCAGAGCAAAGTAGACTACACTGAAGAAGAAGATTGTACAAAATCATGCTGAAATGCACTTCTTCGGAGATAAGCCCTCTGGAAGGGACAAACTCTTAAACAAACTCTTATCAAGAGTGTTGAGTTCAGTGGGGATTAAGCATGGGTATACTTTAACTGGAGATAAGGAGTTCTGTCTGGGTAATAGTACGCCTTTACTGAGGATGAATGATTCTGTTCTGGGCAGAAGTGAGCGTTCACTGGAGAAATTGGATCCCATTCTACAGAAATCTTCATGTTTGTCGCCTACATACCCTTCTTGATTCATTTGCTGGTATGCTTCTTGTCATAAGAGAGCAACCAGTACTTGCAAAAAGAGAAACTGTGGCAAAATGCCCCTATTTGGAATGGAAAACTTCATTGAAGAATAAACAGTTTGAAATGCCAATCACTGGGTAAAAACTGCGATGCAAGATTGCAACTTCATCATGTCGACTCCGAGGAGGAATGCCACTGGCAGAGGGAATTTGGAGAGGATGCTGCAAAAATAAATTGCAGTCCATTGAAAAGAAATCATCTTGACTTCAAACATCTTCTGAATTTCGGGGGATAAAATTCATTCTCCTCCTGCAGAGAAATGAGGAATGCTTTGCTGGGGAATAAGAATCTCTGAAGAGAAACCCCTTAGCAGACAGACTTTTGTCAAATAGAGTTTCCATCATGAACCTCATATGGGTAATAACCCTGAATGATCTTCGCATTGCTGCTCGTATCCTGCTGAGGATGATGATCCACACTTCAACTAGAGATAATGATCCCGACTTCATATAGAGGAACATCAATAAATAGACTCAAGTATCTGACAAGTCGAGGATAACAATCCTGACTTCCTGACATGCTTTTCAAATTCATGAGTCATTTAGCTTGCGTATGGACTTGATATGATCAACCCTTGAAGAGGATAAAATGTCCCTGTATAAATTCTTGCCCTAGTATATAGGGCCTTCGAATAAAACTGCCTCGAGAAGACTTTCTGAGATCTATATCATCGAAGATAATCTGCCCCGGTGTTATGAACTTCATAACACTGCCCGTGACTGACTAGTGTTGGAAGTGGTTTCAACCATGCTTGAGTGAATACCCATGCATATGTAAATTCTGAAAAGATTCTCCTCTAATCAACAAATTCTCAGAGAGATTTGTCAAATCTCGACATAATTGTCCCAGTTTGACTGCACTTTGAGGGATAAAATCCAGACTTGAATGCCTTAGATTGGCTTAATACCTACTCGACAGAGTATTCGACACGTTTTCCCCTGCTCAACAGAGTCTTGACAAACCTTTTCTTCGTCTCATGCTCGGGGATAAATGAGAAGCTCGCAGATTTTGGAAGACAACACAACCTTAGGGTGGCTGGCTTACATCTTGAAAGTAGGCTACTTCATAACCATATTTCTCAACTTGAACTGTCTCGTTCACAGACA